ACTAATGCTCTTGTGTCTCAATGGAAGCAAATCCCTGCAGCAGGAAGAGTCCGGGCTGTTTTAGCTGCACGTTCATTTTCATGTTTTTGAATGACTACCACTTATGGCTGGAAAGTTTGAGTGGCCACACACAAACAGGCATGCAGAGTACATAAACATGTGTATATATATATATATATATATATATATATATATATATATATATATATATATATATAAAATTCCACACTGAAATAAACTAAAGACTAAAGGCTGCCTGGAAGGTAGAAAATACAGACATCTACAAAACTGCAGCATACTGTGATGGTTGGTGGAAATGTAAAGTATGTGTGATTTGTTATGTAAATGGGCAAAGAGTGTGTAAAAAGACTGGTATCACCCTTTAACACACAACTGTGACTAATAGATGTGGAGGTTGGAAACTGGCAGTGCTCCTGTCAGTGTATCCTCCCTCTTAATCAGTTTATATGATACTATCTGACAAAATATTTTTTTAGATAGACGCCTCCCTCTGTTATCTCACTGTAAATACTGTAGTGACACAACATATACAGTCTACAGAGACACCACTCTATCACTCTCCCATGTGAATTCCTGGCTATATGTAGACCCAGAGTATGACCTTACTGCTACACAAATCTCCCTTTAGAGTTAATTAGGATGACTCTGTTAGAGTAGAGCAACATGGAACACTATCCAGCTTCTACAAACAACAGAGTACTGCGTAACATTACACCCTACAATATGAACATTTTAGAGACACACTGTACTAATAATCTTTGTATTCTTAGACCCCTAGCAGAAGCAGGGCTGAAACTAGGATAGTCTTAGTTGGATGCCAATAAATCACCAAATTCTAAGGGCTTTTTCCTCCAGGCAGCATGGCTGATCTCAAGTGATGTGATGGCATTACATCATGAAATATCTATGTATGGACAAATGTAAATTCTGGTGAATCACCGCAATCAATACGGACCATCAAGACCTTTTATTTATTAGATTTCTGTCCACTCCAGGTTTCTGTTTGTTCAGCCCACCTCAGCTCTACCCACCAATGGATTAGCCGGGAGCCAGTAAGGTCCGGACTGTCACGATGGCAACAACCGGAGCCGACCAGACTGAGCTTCACAACGGCTCTTCAGAAACCAACTGGTGACATTACGGCCATTTTTTATTATACAGTCTATGTATGAGTCTCGTAAACGTGTTGATTTCCAGTACTGTCCGTTGCCTAGCATTGGAGCCAAGCCCTGACGGACTCATCCCTCAACCCTTCCATGTCTGACAGTAAACAACACACGTAACATTGTGCAGGCGAACAGAGAGAAAGCTCCACATTTTTGTATATTCGGCTGTGTACAGATTAAGGACACAGCAATATGATACACCAAATTGGTATCTGGCCTGCTACTGAACTTATTAGGCGGATCCGGTATTGGCCATGATGTGAACAAGCCACAATAAATACAGTTTCTTTGTCAATGTCATAATGAAACTGTGTTTTTGCTATCAGTAAAAAGTTTTACAGACCAGTTTTAGTGCCACAGCAATCCTTTGCCTTATGTTGCCTTACATTTGTGTATGCAGTGTGTGTATGAACATGCAGACTGATTATAAACATAGAGACAGTTAGAAAGCAAGTCATGGATATTAAAAGAGACGCAGCACTGTCCAACCTGCAGTCCACCTGAGAACTGTTCAGTGGCTAATTTCACTTGCGCCTTGGTGGCTTTTGCTTATTGAGTTTAGTATTTAATAAGGTAGGCCACCTTAATGGACCAGTGTTTGGTTTGTCCATTCTGGGCTACTGTAGAAACATGGCGGAATCTGTAGAAGAGAACCCACTCCCTCTGCAGATAAAAACAAATGATTCTATATATCTTTAGCATTCTATGACCTTGTTCTGAGACACCACATGTCCACCTTCAGTGTGATGCTCCAGTGCTGCAGAACTTCACTAGATGTAACATTTCAGTTCCTGCATATAAATTTATTATGAGGCAGTTGGAGACATACAGAGGAACACAGATGAGGTCATATGTTAAGGAGCAGGGGAGCAGCTGGACCCAACATCACCTTCATCACCAACACACACACACACACACACACACACACACACACACACACACACACACACACACACACACACACACACACACACACACACTCACACACACTCCCGCTCACAGTGGTGCTTACACATATGGCTCAGTGCACCACAGCAAGTCTGGAGGGGCTTCCCCAGAGTACACGCACACACACACACAGACACACACACACACACAACCTGTCACCTGCTGGTGCATTAAAGTGCTTACTCATCCAACCACAAGATCAGAGCTGAATTATTAACAATCTTATTATTTCACTGGTCCTTCTCTGCACATGCACGCACACGCACACACACACACACACACACACACACACACACACACACACACACACACACGCTTTGAGTGGTCGGAAGACTAGAAAGGCGCTCTACAAGTACAGGTCCATTTACCATTTACCATTACTGTTTATTCTACCAGTGTTTTCTCCTTCTTTTGTCATCCATGCTGTCTTTTCCTTCTCTACCTTTTCTGTCTCTCAGCTGCTTAGTATTCCTCTCTTTCTTTTCGTTCTCATTGAGTGGAACTGTTGTGCAGGTTGTGTGGGTCCAGCGGGGCACTGTGATGTGGAGTGTAAAGACTTATATTCATTAAGGTAAAAGCTGCTATGGGATTTTATCACAACAATTCATGTCCTAGTTTTTTCACGGTTTGTTAGGTAATCCCATCATCATCTTTATCTTTCTCACCACCACTGATGATACTAATGTCTCATTGGCTGGCAGGTGTCTGTTAATGTAGATCAGGACAATTCACACATAATCCCTTTTCAGACATCCACCTGGGAGGGAAATTAAATGCATGTCGTGTTCTCCTGATTAAGATCGCTGTCATAAATCTAAGATATAAAATAAGATAAGATATACCTTAATTAATCCCCAGTTTCAGGGGCTGTATTAGGCTCTGTTCATTCATTGGTACCTACCAATGCTAGCATGTTGACAAGGGGGCTAAATAACAATGCAAAGTTAGGCAAAAAATATCTGAATGAAAATGGATTCTATGAGTACCCACAAGTTTCCCCTTGTAGACATGCCCATTGTATGCTAATCCCATGCAGTTTGGGGCAAAAACAATGTAGTTTTTTGCATGTGGAAAAAATGTGTTAGTTTCTCATTTCAAACATCAAATTAAAACTGAATGCGTCCATTATGTGTAATAAGGGAGAGTCTTTCCTGGTTGCAACCAGACCAAAAGTAATTAAAAAAACAAACTTGTACAACCATAGTAATAGTAATAATAGTAGTAATAAACTGCATGGACAAATATGAATATCTAGCCTAATGCTCTATATAAGATACAGCATGTGAGCGAAGAGGAATTAAACAAAAGCTACAACTTAATGTTTTGTCTATACTTTGCACTGCTTTATATTATACATTATGCAGAATTATGAGAAAATGTACAAATTACTAGGTGATCCACAGGAAACGTGGGGGTGAGTGTCCCTATGGCATTAATGGCAAAATAAACTTTCAGCCTGTGAGAAAACAGAAAATATTCTTTTCTTTTTTCCCTTTAAGCCCCCCTCCATTCAAATTTTTTTTTATTCTTGTTCCTACAGTTTGATGTTTGAGTGTTGGAGAAACAAATATTGCGCGCACAAGTTCCCTTCTGTGGTCCTGTCATGTCAGACAATCAGGAACATTAACATAAAAACACCTACAGTGTCTGAACAGGAGCCAGAGCCTTCAGTTACCAAGCTCCTCTCCTGTGGAACCAGCTTCCAGTTGTGGTTCGGGAGGCAGACACCCTCACCACATTCAAGAGTAGGCTTAAGACATTCCTCTTTGATAAAGCTTATAGTTAGGGCTGGATCAGGTGAGTCCTGAACCATCCCTTAGCTATGCTGCTATAGGCCTAGACTATCGGGGGATTTCCCATGGTGCACTGAGCTCCTCTCTTCCTCTCTCTCTCTTTCTGCACTCATTCATGTTCTATTAATGCATGTTACTAACTTCACTTCTTCCCCGGAGTTCTTGTGCTTTCTCGTCTCACAGGTTCTTATCGATTCTGGTGGAGCCTCCTGCCATGGTCCTGCTAGATTGCCATTGCTAATATCACTGATATTAGTGTTGTTATTATTATTATTACTATTATTATTACTACAGTTACTATTATTGCTGTAATCACTGCTCATTGTCCCCCATAGTTGTTGTCATTGTCGTCATCATCTTCATGTTCATCATCATCATCATCAGTCACTACTATTAGTGTAGTTGTTGCTACTGTTGTTGCTGTGCACCTTTGTCTCTGTCTCTGTCCTTCTGTCATTACCTCTATTCTCTCTCTCTCTCTCTCTCTCTCTCTCTCTCTCTCTCTCTCTCTCTCTCTCTCTCTCTCTCTCTCTCTCTCTCTCTCTCTCTCTCTCTCTCTCTCTCTCTCTCTCTCTCTCTCTCTCTCTCTCTCTGACGACCACCCACCTAGAGCCGGGTCTGTCCGAGGAACCTTCAGGAAAACTGTAATACACAACTGCAGATGAGACTCCAATAACAGTCAAATATCTGTAAACCATATCACACAGCACAGCACCAAGGACAACCTTGAGTTTTGGTCTGACAAACAATAAGACACAGAGGTACCAGCAAATAGTGAAAATAGCAGGAAGTGGGTGTGTGTATGATACAAAAACACCCACAACTCAGGTCAGAACAATGAAACTAAATGTTTTATTCTCATCTGACATCAGCAACATATTCTCTCTCTATTTCTTTCTTTCTCCTTAGGGTTAGGGTTAGGGTCGGTTTATTTTCCCTTTTTATCATTTGCTAATTTAAAGCTTTCTCTCTTTCATCCTCTACTCCTCTCTTTTCAGTTTCTGTAAACTAAGAGCATATATCCATCCAATAATGGTACGTTACAGAATCAGCTCCTTCCTTCCTTCCTTACCTTGGCTAATGGCTTGTTGCTGCTCTCCCAGTTTCTCTTATCCAGGGAGGGGGGCACCTGGTACACATCCTGCCCAGCTCCTGGCCCCCCGGCTGGGGCTGTTCCCTGGCCTGGCACTGGGCCTACAGAGGGGGGGACTTGGTAGATGTCCTGCCCAGGCAGCTGGTACTGTCTCTGGGCTAGAGCTGGGGCCTTGCTAGGGGGTCCTTGCTGGGCCTGTGGAGGTGGTCCACTTGGGCCAGAGGGGATCTGATACAGACTTTGGGGACTTGGTTTGGGGCCATGGGATGGGGGCATCATGTAGACAGAGTCAGGATTGGGCTGTGCCGGGCTGGGGGTGGAGTAAGCCGGGTGCATAGATGTGTACTGAGTTGAGGGGAGGGGCTTGTTGGCAAACCCGGAAGTGGAAGTAGCGATGGCAGCAGATGATGGAGCAGGTGTTGGTTTGGCATAAGCGCTTTGAAGGGGCAGGGGTCGCTGCAACAGGGAGGCGGGACAGGAAGTGGCTGGATCTGGCATGGAAGGCGTGGCCTGTTGCTGTTGCTTGCTGTCGTACATGCCGACCAGGATCTTGAGACGGTTGCCAGGGACAATACCTTGGCGACCATGGAGCGAGCAGAGCCACCAGCCGTCCAATCCCTGCGTGTCCCGCTCCAACACCGTCATGATGTCACCCTTGCGAAAGGACAGCTCGTCCGGAGACTCTGCCACGTTGTCATACAACGCCTTGGCCAACACATTCTGTAAAAGGACAAAGAGAAATATATAAGAAAGACTGAAGAAATATACTCCAATTGGTTCATGTTGCCATCTACTGTTAAATGTGGCTTTAACAAATCAAGGCAGTCTCCATCTGAGCTGTTAGTGTGTAGAACAAGAAAAACTGCAGAGAAAGCAACACAGTGTACAGACAAAATAACTTATTTTGTGGTGTATAGCTGCCTATTTAAAGTGTCCTGTCTGTATTGTTTCTTTATAATTTTTGTTTAGCATTTGTTTGTCCGTGTAGTGGCAGATCATGTGACTGACACAGTCAAAACTTCAATTACAACTGATTTAGTGATGAGCCATAAATATGATGGTTTTCTATGTATGTATATATGTTAAACCTAAATCCAAATGTCAATACATGCCTTAAGGAACCTTCATTTCCAATCATAACTTTTCATTTCACCAATGTGTGGGGATGACTTTGTCTTATGTCATAGCGGTTTTCTGATGTGCTGCCCTTATGTTTAAAAGTTATATGTATGAGATTTAAGAGATGAATTTAGCAGCAAACAACTATTCTCTATGTAAAGATATAGTGGAGTCATGGCGTCAAACTCCCGCTGCCTGTGTTGCTATCACAGCCTCTCTGTGGTTTGTTTCCATAGCCGGTGTGCAGCTGAGTTGAGCGACTGGAACTGCTGTTTTTATCATCTACGTCTGTCAATTAAGGATTTATTTCCACCAAACCAGAGTTGCTGATTGTTGGACCAGTGAGAAGAACAACAAAGGTGGTTTTGGTGAGTTTTATTTTGTATCTGTCCACTTTAATGACATTATGCTGTTACACTGATAGGTAAGGTAAAATTACCATTTTGTCTCTGGAGTCTGGTGGAGAGTGATAGTGATATAACGGCTGTTTGTGGTTAAACAAAAGGTCTATCTCTGTAGGGATCCATTCCATAATGTTGCCAGACCCTTAGAATAACAATCTGAGCCTGTCAGTGGCAGAAACAAGCACTATTTAACATACTTTGACTACATTTGCCCCCAAGGATTAATGTTACGTTACGGCTATTGCAGCACTGTTTGCGAATATCTTCATATGTAACTCAGGGAATTAAGGGTTTACTTTGACCAAACCTGTATTAGGGATTATTGGAAAGACTAACAAAGACGGTTTTGATGTTTTATTTTATTTCTATCCCATTATTTTGGTCTGAGATGCTGGTGCTGTAATGCAACATCCAGTGGCTCCAGTTGTCTCAAAAGCAAAATGGTTGTTTAAAGATTTAATTTCCGAGATCTTCCTGGAGCTGTTTCACAACCAGTGACAAGGATTTTAATTTCTTGCAGCTGTGAGTAGCTCCTTTATTTTCCTTAGGCAATACACGATGGCTCAATATTGTCCATCAAATAAAGCACATTTAGTCTGCATTCTCTATTTTAAGATTCTTCTTCTGTTACTTTTCCAGTTACACACTCAGAATGAGTATGTAGTATGGAACTGGAGCACAGCAGCTATGATAAAAGTTCTTGTGCTGAGCCATTGACAATGTGTGTGTCCTTCCATGTGAGAAAACCTGAAAAATGCCAGCCACAGCTGTGCACATAATTAGGATAGCAGCTATAGCACTGAGCCATACTGTCATTCATTTTCATAAATGACATGCTGTTACATGTGTTACCATGCAGCCAGAGAAAGGGCAAAGTACAAGGACACTGAAGTGCTCCTACTGTTTGATCATGGATAGTCTGGGACAAACCAGCAGAAAACCATTAACACAATCATAACGGGTGGAGAAATTCTACATTATGGGAAACATTCAATAATAGAAGCAGAAAACAGGCAGTTCCGAACTCCATTTTGGTTGAATCTTACCAACACACATGCACATATGCGGCCATCTGTGTGGAAACCCAGCGTGCAAACAGAAACACCTCCCCTTAGTCTCTCTGGAATTCTTTAAAACTAAACCAATATTTGCCGTCCACATCTGAACTCAGCCCACTCTCCTCCCTCCCTGTGTGTCTGAGTTCCATCCCAACTATCACAGACTGGTACAGCCTGTACTGGCCCCATTCCAGCTCCACACACACACACACCAACCTAAGCACAAAGCACTGCCCATTTAAATGAGGCCATGTAATTGGCTTCCAGATTAATAGTCAGAATTTTCTTTCACTGAACTGAAGGCCTGTTCATGGCTTCAGAGTGGGCTGGGAACCAGACAGAGAAAGACACTCGAACACATACATACAATATACTCACTTCATCAGATTCACTAGCTGTGTTAACACGCACAGAAAATACCTGCCAGATACTCCTCCATATTTCCGTGATATGGTAAATGGTAAATGGACCTGTACTTGTATAGCGCCTTTCTAGTCTTCCAACAACTCAAAGCGCTTTTACACTAAATGCCACATTCACCCTTTCACACACATTCACACAGCGATGGCAAAGTCCATCAAACAGAAACTAATGCATTCATACACATTCACACCGATGCACAGCATCAGGAGCAATTTGGGGTTCCACATGCCACAGCCCCCTGATATTCAGTTACTATGTGATCAAAAAGTCTAACTTATTTTCTAGATACCTGCTGGTCATCTCATACTTAAGTCCCCCCTCCAGTCGAAGTGATTTTACCTTCACATTTTATCACACATGTTTGAGCTTCACTGTGCAGAATGATGTATGAGCAAAGTTGTTACTGTTTATACTTTCATCTGCTGAAGGGACAAAGTTTCTCTATGCTTACCTTAAATCTGAGTTTGAAACATCAGAAGGACTTTGTGACATCATGAGCCAATCATGGTCCGTTATGTAACTTACTTTATCCAGAAGTGGGTAGGACAAAGCGGAAGTTGTAAACTTAAAGACTGATATGGGTTGATCAGAAGTTGCTATATTTATTAGAAACTATTTATAGAATTTAGCAAGAACAATGTTTTTGATCACAAGAGTAAGAAAACTACTTACATTATCTGTATCGGATACTTGTTTCAGCCCAGGTAATGACTCAACCCTAGTCTGCCCTTTAGGTACCCATCAAGATCAATATGAAGCACATGTTAGGAAAAACAGCCTCTGAGCTGCAGTGGTTTTAATGGTAGATGGACTGTACTTATATAGTGCCTTTCTAGTCTTCTGACCATTCAATGTGCTTTACACTACATGTCACATTCACCCATTCACATTGATGACAGATGCTCATTGGAAAGGGAAAACTGAGTACATTCACACACCGATGGCACAGCATTTTGGGTTCTTGTTCAAGGACACTTTGACATGCAGCAGGAGGAGTTGGGGATCTAACCACGAGTCTTCTCAGTTTTCTCCCCACAGGAATAACAACAACCCAACAGTAAAACTGCTCCACATTATGACCTTTGAACTCTGGAGAACTTTCAGCCTGAGGCAACATAATGGAGACCTTTACCTGTCAACACAACATAATTATTGCATGTTCTAGTTTCAGAATTAGGCTCTTTTTGCTGCACACACGAATGTTGAAGTATGTTCTAAAGCTGTCAGAAGCAGAAAACCATCCGTGCACATCAGTTTAAGCTGTCATCCTGCAGCAGTAATATAGAAGTGTGCTCCAGGGTGTCTCAGGACACTGTGACATCACTGTTGGGTGTGGCTTCAATTGTATCAGAGCACACTCAAGATCATACCAAACAGAGGGCAACAGGCTTGAAACTTTCATCTTAATGTTCTATAGTTGAGTGTAATTAATTTGCCAAGAAAGAGACAAAACACACAATAAAAGTTCAAGATGAATTTTGACTAGCATTACTTTTTTCTTTTGAATTTTCTATAGATATTACAGTACTGTGAATTCTTTTGGTCATGATAATCAGGTAGTGAAAATCTGATATTGTGACAGCTCTACTTTGACCCGGAGCAGTCAGGGAAACACTGGTGCTAATTTGCTCGTTATTCTTTACCAGATATTAAGATGTACTCTTAACTGGTTTAAATGTTGATGTTTACCAAAATCCCAAAAGACAACAATCAGGAAGGACTATCAGACGTATAATACAAAAACGTATTCTCAATTATAGGTGTCTTCTGGTAAGTTCGGCATTAAAAGAAAAGGTTTTGATGCATTTCAAGAAATATTTATCTTTTCATTATTTGATTTTCTGCTTTTTGCGATTCACCATTTCTCACATTTGAAACATTATCACTCTGTGCTGTTCTTTGACATTTCTTTTCAGTCCTGGTTCATAGTTACAATCCAGGATTGTCAGTTGTTTGGGAGCCGCCAGGACTTAACTATTAGGATCTTTAAGTGTTTCATCTATTTAATAGTCAGTACGATAGCTGGGTTACTCTGACATGGAAGTCAGTGATACACACTCCTGCAGTCATTCAGATTGTATGTGCTTTATCTCTTTTTCTGTGTTTTTGTTCCTCTGGGTGTAGAAGTGTATGCACTGTATGTGCACACACTCTAGAGCCGCTGCCAACCAGCTCCGTTCCTTCTGTGAGTGCTGAGTGGATGAGGAATGCACTTCTCTGTCTGTTTTCTGCGCTTTCTCTCACTAAGTCTAAAGGAATACAGCTACTGAGGCCAGACTGAGGTCACTCCTTGTCACACACATGCCCCCCCGCCCCCCACACACAAACTGTAGGATTACACCAACGTATCAGGTCAGTATTAGAATTTTCTATCTATAAAATAAAGACATGGATGTGATTAATAAAACAGCTGCTTATGAAGTGAAAACCTAAGCAGGAATCTCTGTGGCTTGAAAAATCTGACTGTTTTCACACACACAGAAATCTTCTTCTTACTCCATTCTAGTGTCCAAAGAAACAGGAAGTGCAATGAGGATGATTCACACACCCTCCTGATTGGACGATGAGTCAGTGACTTGACCCAGAGGTCTTAGAATCACCCTGAATAGGTTCTCATGCACTCTCTATTTCTGTCTCTTTGTGAATCCCACTCGGGTTTGTCTAATCCACATTAGTCCAAGTTTTAGAATAGGTTGCTCCCCAAATGTCGCTGCCA